TTTATCGCTATTCTGTCTCACCATTTAAAAAACACTACCAAAAGTGATAAAGCTGTCAAATTGGCAGGCATTGGTCATGAGGTTCAAGAGCTAGTGGGATTAAAAAGGGGGCAAGAAAGGACAGTACAAGTTAGTGAGCTAAAAAAAAAAAATCTAAAATCACCTCTCAGTACTACTCAGTACATATGCCAGTACACGGAACACACCATTTCACGTTCATTAGCAGAGAATTCACTTCAAGACCTCCAACTTTTCTGGACTTCTCTAAACCATACCCTGACAACAGGGGTCAAGTATCTAACAGGCCCATATTCCCTAATGGGAGCACCTACAGAAGTTGAATTTAACTTACTGAAGTCGTTAACTTCAAGAATGACACCACCGCTACCACAGCAGAAATAACTTTCAGAAAAAATGAAACATTCTTTTTGCCTAAGTCACAGTATACTGATAATCCATCCCTGAAACTACTTCACATTAAAAAGCTTAATGGTTTAAACTTCTCATTCTGGGAATATGGAAATGTTATTTCTAACTTTGAAGCAAAAGGGAGATACTCCAAATAAAAAGCTATATATGGCTAAGAAGAGTTATTAAACTAACAACCAAGTTCTGTATGTTTTAGATGAAATAAAGATATAGTTTTACACATTAACATTACCTTATAGAAGTTATTTTACCGCTTAGTAAGCGCACTGTTATAATGCTTTAGAATGTACGTGACAAAAATACTGAGAAATGGGTAATTTATGTTTCGAGAAATTAAACAGTTTACCTTACTGCTCCTGAACCATTCCAGGTAGGAGGACACTGCGAACAATAAGGCCAGTCTTTGGAATCCAGTTTGTTTTCTATAGCATCCTGAAAGGCAAAACAAAAGACCCACTTCAAACAGCCACAGAGACCTAAAACCCATCAAATTTCGACTTCCGGTAAGGATGTCCAACTGGGATTTAATGCCAGCACATGCAATTTCTATGAACAACCAACTGCAAGCAGTATCTCATGAACAACACTCCTATGTAGCAAAACGCTAGACCACGTAATGCTGAAAATTATTGCAAGGCTTTTGTGCATCACAAGGAATTGGGATTACATATGCTTTCTTTATAAACATAATATTGATTTAACTGTTCAGATTTCACTAGTAGCTTTTCATCTGTAACTACCCTAACATATTTCATTTCTCTATAGCAGTGTACGAGAGAAGTTAGGGTCCCCTGAAGACACGGATGAACGTGTGAAAGTCACCAAGAATCTACGAATGACAGCACTGGGTCAGACTAAAGGTCCAGTGAACTCACTATTCTGTCTGACATCAGTCACTAACTGGTGCTTAGGAAGAGCTTTAAGAACAAAACAACTACACTTCTGGCAAGTAACATTTTCCAGCCTCTACCAATCTACACTTTAGGTTTGAATTACAGTTTAAACACCCACTGGAGGAAAAAAAAAAAAAAATCCAGATCTTTAAATTACACTAAGCATTGCCAATCACACAGGACAAGCTGTTCAAAAAGACTTTCTGCTTTCACTTTCATTTGCTTCACCTTTAAACAACCTCCAATAAGGAGCATCGCTAACACACAGCCGTCTAATGTTCTGTATTACAGACAGACTAGAAGTGATCACTTTGTTCAACAGATGTATTTAACAAAAAGTAACTCAAGAAACTATGACATTTCAAAAGACTGGCTGTAACTGCTCATTTGAGTAAATTTCTGCACGGCACCCATGAATTGACTAGTTGGTCAAATTTACCTCCATCACGTCTTTGATAACAGGCGTCCACCTAGAAAGTTGAAAAGTTTCTTCTGAAGAACGGTCCCTTCTTGGGTGTTTATAATGCTGAGCAGCAGACTGAAAAGATTATCAAAACATGGTTGTATTATACAGTGCTTTTGTTTTTTTGAAACTTATTCTCAATTAGTAGCGGGGGGGGGGGAATCAGTGGGAAATTTTAAAGAAATAATAAAGAAATAACAACAACAACAACAAACAACAATTAATACCTGTAGAATTCAGGGTACACTAGAAATACTGATTTCAGAGACAAGGAACTGAGTAAGTTGCCACTTTCCAAAACCAACTAGCTCAAGTCACCATCTGATGATTTTAGAGGGAACATTATAGGTATCTTTCTTTGAAAATTATTCATGTTAATTGTTTGAAGGATTTGTCACTTAAACACATCATAAAAACAAGAATTCCTAGTAATTGCCTGGCTAATACTGCTAAGAGCTGCTGAAAGAGCTGTAGACAAGTGCTTGGGTGGTAGGAAATTACAAAATAAATAAATACATTCTTACTGAAGAGATAACAGGAACATCAAGGTATTTCCAATTTCTTATCATATCACTATCACTTTCTATTTGTACATTCTGGATCAGCTTGTCCAAGTTCTCCTGGGTAGTTCCTTTGATATAAGGAAAAGCATACAACTTAATTACCATGTGATTGTGCAAGACAAAATTGGTCTTACTCACATTCTAGGCTGTTATTTAGTCCAGGATTTTGTTTGGCCAGTCTACTTTAACATAATACATAATACTATATTTTAGATAAGATTTTGTTTAATGATCCATTTTTGAGACCAAAACTCAATATTGTTATAGATTCCTCAGACCCATATTCTGTCCATTTCCTCCTCCTCCACTACAAATTGTTCCCCATTGACTTTATTTTCAGGTTGCAATGGACATGGAACTCCCCCTTTAACAGCTTCAATTCTATGTGAAAAGGAGAAAAATTGAACTGTTGCACACATCCAAGCACAGGAATGATGCTAAAACACTGTATGGATCTGCACTTGTATTGAATTTCTTAACTCCTTAGCAATGTATCTTTGCTACGAATTTGAGATAAGAGAAGCTACAGAGGATGGACAGTATTTCTTTCAAACATGGCCATCAATAAGCAATACAAATGCTTAAGTAAAAATACTGGACTATCCCAAAACTCGAGCTGAAGTCCATAACGCTGGGGGGGTGGGGGGGACGACACACACCAACAGGGCAGCTTATCATACCATTTGTGCTAAAGATATACAAGAGAATAGCTCTAATTTTGTCATAGCTCTCATGACTTTTGTTGAGCAGAACTGGAAGGAGGACTCTCATTGAGTCTTTCACTTTTTGACCTTCTGCATCAGTTCCAAGAGCCAAGTCCTAAATTAAAACAAAAAGTGGTTTTAGTGAGTAATGACAAAAAAAAAAGCATTGCTTTGTGTCTTCTGAAATGTGTTTTTATGAAACGGTAGGTTTCGGGAAACAATCAAGCTGCATCAATTTAAACTCAGTATGAAAACTCTTTGACGTAATTATTTCAATAGTTACAGCATTATAACACCACCACATAACACTCAAACATTTAAAACTGTTGATATCTAGATTTCATATAAATGTGTAGGTTTTAACTTGAGATTAGTAGTACAATGTAATGCCTCACCCTAACAGGTACTTTTCCCAGACATTTAAAAAGGGCTTCCTTCTGCAGAACATAATAAGGCAAATTCATAAGAGTTTTGAACAAAGAAAACACAAATATGATCCTTATAGAAATCAGCCAGATTCAAAGACAAAAACCCAAAACTCAAAATGCACCTCCTTTATTGGCAGAGTAAAAGCCCTGTATATCTCACTAAGCTTTAATACTACTACCTCAAAAAGTTATCACAAAAAAAAAAAGGCAAGAGACACTACTTTTGTCAGTTAAAAATAAGCATCTACGCCTGCAAACAAAAAAGTCACATTTGCGGTAAGCTGTTGTTTGGTTTGTGGGTTTTTTTTTTTTTTTAAACATACCTGTTCAGTTTTACAGAGCCCTTCTATGTTAGACTTGAACTTGCTCATGCAATCTTCTGCTAAGTTAAGATGGATGACTTGCTAGAAGATCAAAAAAAAAAAATCACAAGCTGTCATAACTCACCTTTTTTTTTTTTTAAAGACATCAAGCAATCATTTTTACTGGTTACAAGAGTCAATCCTTCAACTATCCTTCCGTACCATCATGTATTCTCTGTGTTTCACCCTTCACTTAGAGATTGGCTCCCATAATACCTTTTAAAACATTAAACTGCTATGCTATCTTCAATCCTCAAAGCACACAAGTCCTCCAAGTGGTTTTTTTTACATACTAAAATGAAACACCCGGAAACAAGTTTCCTTCTCAAAATTTTACAGTAGGTGAACATATTAATTTGGAAAAAAGTTACATAGCACACTTAACAGGAAAATGACAGAATAAAACACAGAAAATCATAGTATACAAAGTGATTTATTGTGAAGTTGTAGTTACAAAAGACCCCTTACCCTACTAATCTCTTTACGATAGTGCGGCATCTTTTTCATTAACTGGGACAGAGCAGATATCGATAACTGTGAAGAAATGATACAAGTGAAAAATTTTTCCCCCCAGTATTTGACATCCTTATTTCCCTTCCTCTTGCAGCCTTGCTTTTTGTTTTATTTCCCAAAAAAATTGCCATTGAGATAAGCCTCAATTTCTGTAATAGGTCCATGAATTACATAGCTCTGATCAGCTGAAAATAATTAAATTACCAGGAAAAGCAACAATACATTGATTTAAACAACTTACTTTTCCTTCTGTTGCTTTTCTTTTTGACGAAACTTCTTTCAAAAGCTTTGGTATTTCCCTGGAAAAAAAGCCAAAGGAAAGTAATCAAAAGCAACAGCACCACAGTTCTTAAATCTTTTCTTAAGATCTTTACTTAATCTTAAAAGAACTGTGCAACAAGAACTTCTGAATAAAAGTAAAAGCTTCACATACAGGTCTCCTTCAGAGAAGAGAGTGTTTTTTGACAAAGGAAACTGAAGTTAAACATTCTGTTTATGATATCTACATAATGTCATTTGATGCAATAACTTGCTAGTACTGTATGCAAAATAGTCCCTTCAGATTTAAAAGATTTGAAGATACTTCCCAGGAAATAATTTTATTTCCATTTTCCTCGAGAACTGTAATTAATATTAGTAAAAGTGCATACCTCTGTACATACTCTATTTTTGAAAGTATGTTTTCTTTCTGGCATCGATTATTTAATAGGATGCAGTCTATATTGCAAACCATCTTCACTACTGCCTGTATCCCTACTTTCTTAACGGTTCAAATCATTCCCTCTCAAAGAAACTTTTATAAGTTGCATTTTTAACTAGTTTTTGTTCTTTATTCACATACTCTATCACATCTGCAATATGCTTGTGCCGAATCTTCACCCAGAGCTCATCATCTTCCTCCAGAATTGCCTCCCGTTCCTTCCCAGCAGCTCCTTCTGTTTTGTATCTTCAAAGAGAAAATTGAGACAGTTGTTCGGTTTGGGGTTTCACACACACACACACTAATAACTCGTTAAAGTATTAATTGTTATGGTTTAATCAACATACATGGTAATAGCAGTAACGGGGGACAGGTTTTCACTCACAAGCCAGGCTATTGCCCAACACAATATAATTTACATAAGGATTTTACAGATTACATCTTTGAACATAGAAGCAGCAGATGAATTTTAGAATGATTCTTTGGGGCAATGGCTTCTGGACATTCTTTTAAACCAACAATAACTAGAGTTTCGATCATGCATTACATGCACCTCAATTTCTCTTTAGCTTCCAATGTCAAGTTCCCTTTGGCTTCAATGCAAATTGTGTGCAAAGTAATACACATTGAGATTGCAAAGTGCAGCTTTCTACATCTACTACAAGACATTTTGTAACTCCAAAGGAAAATGAAGTCCCATTCACCCACAAAATAGACTAAGTAGGACAAATTACTTCACATATACAAGAAACACGCTTCACAGAATTACAGACCAGCAATTACTTTTCTACAAACAGAAATAAACCTATAAAGCAAGATAGCAATCATACTACATAACATTTTCACATTTACAGAAACTTACGCAGTGTATACAGCCAGAAAGCAGAAAAGTAAAAGAAAAATTACAAGATGAATTGCAAAAGTCAGATCACGACTACCTTGAAGACATACTCTGCTACATTTTCATAACCAGCAAATTTCAGATTCATAGAATTCTACATTTTCTGTCAAAACATTCACTCAGTGTTTCTGACAGAGAAGATACACATTCCTGTTTGCTTAACTAAACAATGAGACAATTCGGTCTCATTTGCTGTCGTGGGTCATCAGAAAGCAAAGGCTTACCAAAATCTTTGGTGCCAGAACAATCCGACAGCAAAGTACGTACCTTATGCAAAACAACGTCACACTATTCCAAATAGTGCTTACAAACTGAACGTGGCTCACCTAAGTGTGCATTTAGGACAGACATGTAAATTTTAAAAACTACACAAATTAAATGACTGGAGCTATAGAAGTGAGCATTCCTGAGAAATAACTAAGCTTTTTCTCAGTACTCTATTACTGGTCTTGCTTGCCTTGTTAGGCCAAGAAGGTTGAGAATATGGAAGAAAAGGTAGAGAACCTGAACATGCACTACCAAGGTTTTGCTTCAAGTCTAGTACAAAGTTCTTTGTTTTTAAAAAAAATGCAATTTGTTAGATTCGAAACTTAGCAAAAATAGTAATTAGATCCTACCTAATCTCAACTAAATAAGGAAGTTAACAAAAAGAGAAAGTTACAAAACCAAGAGGAAAGACTAATAATAAGTGAAGCAACCCTTATATAATAAGCAGCTAATATTGCTATGGTGCAATTCAGCTAAACAATTCCATTACATTTTATAATCAATAAAGCATTTAGATTTTTTTTAAAAAGTACTTGCTTGTAAGTATCATTTTCAATTGGTAACAGATCATATGCCATTGCCTGGAAGGTGAGTTCATGAAGTACAGTTGATACTGGGTCAAAGCCACGATCAATTATTATGAGTTGGGAGTGGGTTTTAGCCTAGAAAGCCATCAAATAAATGTAAAGTTAAGACATACAGTACAAAGTTAATGCATGTTAAATCTATTTACACTAAGTTACAGCAGTGCAGACATTTTTGGAAACATAACTGAAAAAAAATTAAAAGTACGGTCCAGATGTTTATCAACATAAATAGGAACAAACAATTAAATGATAACCAGAACACACAAATGCTAATTTTAAAGCAATGCGCTTAGCCCATTGCAATGCATTCAGTAACCTCACCTAATGAGCAAAAAGTGTAAAGAAAACACACACAATAAAGGCCTCCCACTGACTTTTCACAAATAAGCATATTGTTTGTATTTCAGAGTAGATTATCCATACTGTGCTGCAATACAGGAAAAAAAAAATCATCTCCAAGCGTTCAACTGAAAGTTTCACTTTGGGGTTTAGCAGAGTGGCAGTAGCATCAGGTACATTGATTTCTGTAGCAGAATGGAACATCACCAAGTCAGAATGGTTTACCCCACACTTCTGCATTTAGGCCGCTGCCCTAATCTGCCCTGATCCGTAGTGACAGGTCAAAAACATTATTTATGTGAAAAGCTGTATCTTTGTGGACGATAAATCCCTCAATGGGAGACATTTCAATTCTGCAGTGACGTCCCTTCTACACATAGCCCTATGAAAGGTGATGTTAAAACAAAAAATAGTTATCCACTTTTCTTCAGGTTTGTATCATCCCCTACATTATTATAGGGCCAATTTTTCAAGTGCAATTAGTTTGATCACACAAATTATATTTGCTTACATACAAATTTACTCTATCAGTTACTACCTCTAAGTTGCTTTCCGACAAGAACAACTAATGGCAACTAGTTGCCTTTATTAATAAATAAAACCTGGTTTTGTAGAACCTATTGTCAAAAAATATTCCAAAGATTTTTTTTCCCCCAGACTTACAAAAAAGAAGCAAACATTTTAGTTCACTTTCTACCTTTATTTGGCTTTTCTCATCAGTTTTGTAGTAGTTTTCAAGATTTTTTTCAACAAGCTGTGCAAGTTTGCTGGCTTTATCAGATGGTCCGCTGGGAAAAAAGGAAACATGCAAAAATAACTTAAATTTCTTCATCAAAACACTAAAATGCTACCTTTAAAACAGAAAGGATTCCCTAGATTGATCCTCTGGTTTCACGAGCAGTTTCTGAACTCCATTCTAGGTATTTCCAATATATTTTCACTTTTACATTACGATTCCACTCTTTGAATGCTTCAGGTATTTCACATAGTAGAAACAGCTTCAGCCAAAAGACTGACATTAGCTGGCATATGGCCCAGCACCTGAGAGTCTCACTCAGAAGCAGGAAACAAGAAAGAAAAAAGAAAGAAAAGAAAAAACAGTCAAGTAATTATTTCTTTACCTTTGCAGAGAATAAGGCACCACTTCACCTTGCACCACAGAATGCAATTCTTGAGCATAATTTCAGATGCCTGCTTTGACTTCAAAGATAATACTCTGTACTCTCTATCAAAGCTCAAAAGAGGTATTCTCCTCAATATCTCTACTACAAAGAAATCCTGATCCCCTCTGCCTCAATAATTTATGAATTCCTTGATGCCAAGCGGAGCTGCAAAACTACCAACAGCAGCACTTCTGTTACAGGATTACGCATGCGGTATATTTGAATGCAGCATATTAGAGTGTCATCCTACTGACCAAACGTGAAACGAGTAGTTCATAACAAAACAGGGTATTAGTAAGTATTGTTATATGAATACACACAGTGAAATAATTCACAGGTCTGCCCACACTTCACAAAATCCTATCATTCCATATTTCGGAGTTGTGGATTAAAACCAATTAATCCACAACAAAAGAAACTATGCTGCAGCCTCAAGCTATTACCAATCAATGTGGGAAGTCCTAGAAGTCAGAGCAACTACACTGTACAACACTATTTTTGCCCCACCTTTTATATCGTACTCCTGGATTCTCATCTAGTGTGGCACATAAGGTAACAATTTGTTCAGCCATTACTTGCATTACAGGATCTTTATCCTTTGTCTTTTCCAGAGTTGGACTATAACAGCGGTAGAATGCATCCGGGACATTGAGAGTAAATACCTATGTAAAGCACAGCCAAGAAAAAAAATGGCTTAAATTATATATTTCTAAAATATCTGGTAAAAGAATTGCTGATACTTTAAAACTACGTGCTGTAGTAAAGTCATACATAATAGACTTCAAAAAAACCCAAACCCACACTTCAGTCTTCTTTCTCTGTCCTGTTGAGCTCATCTGCTTCTTGTTCTCACACTCCTTCCCTCTATTACTCTCCTCCCCTATGTAAATTACTATATTTTTAAATTGCTTACTGTCTGTACAGATGGAGGGACCTGAGACAGGCAGAACTAAATGCCATCCAGTGTCTTGTACAGAGCCATACAATGCAATACCAGAATGATCATAGAAGGTAAAGTTGAATTTGTTTAAAATAGAATTTTACATACTGTATCTGTTTATTATATGAAGACTTTACCTCCAAGAACTGAAATCCTTTAAATGCATTAAACCTTGATAAAAGATGTTTAGTACTACACAGAAGAAAAACTTTTTCAATAGTTTAGTAAATGGAATGCAAACATGGACACAATCCCATTGTCAGTAAATGGATTTTCTCCAGCTTCAGATGGATTCTGTAACTACCGAGCCGAAGAAGAACGTTCATCCAGATAAGGATGTTTGTTTCATTCAAGTAGATAATCACTTGGACTTTACCCAGAGCTCAGTCTGATTACTTACTCTTATCACCCCAGAAAGCAGGCCCAGGGATTTTAAATTAGGAAAATCAGTTGACATACTCTGTTCCTTTGCTAAGGATTCCAAATGTTCTCACAACCCAAAATACTGAGAACACAAAACTAAACTAAAAACAAGAAGAGACTAAGTGCTGCTTATTTTCTACTTCAGAAAAGTAGTCCCAATTTCTGCTTTCATGGTAAGTCCTCCAGAGAACCAGGACAACAAAATTCTCATATGCCTTATTTGGTAGAAAAAGCTACAGAACTTTTTCTTAAGAGCAGCTTTAGCAGAACTCCCAAAACCAGTTTGAAACAAAGCTTGGGAACATCAACACCACTGGAAAACAAACAAACCACCACACTATTATTCTCTGATGGCATCTCAATTTAAGTAATAAAAAAACTATATTATAAAAAGGAGTGTGTCTTCAAACTAGGAAACCGCATCACAATAAAACATGGATAGCAGCAACCTCTCCTATATTCACCTGCCACTTGGTATACATAAGTCTTCTGACCCTTCACATGTTCATGAGGTTTGAAGAATACAGGAAAGACTTGTGGGAGACATTCACGGTTAGTTCTACAATTCCCAACAGTGGACAGGCTTTGGGGGCTTCGCTGTATTAGTAAGTATCAGAGTGCATTTCAGCCTTCTGTATCTGATGAAGTGCAAGAGCAACAAATTCTTTCTCAACACAATACCCACTGTGTGGTTTCACATGGAAACCACTCATTGGTTTCCACTGGTGGTCTCAAATTTTTAATTGAGAAAACATGGATTTCCATGTTTTCCTCTCAATAAGAAGTTTGCCAAGTTATGTTTGTTTCTCTTTTTTTGTGAGGCTTTGGTTTTGTTCCACTCCCCTTCAGTTCTCTTCATCCGTTTGCTCTCCTTTTCCAATTTTCACCAAGTAGTTAGTTCTACTTATTCCTACGCACCAACCTACCTAGTCTGTCAAAATAGCACCTCGGTATAAGCAGTAACAAATTTTACTGCTTACTAAAGACAAGCCAGAATACTTTCCTTCTCTTAAGGAATAGATTCCTTCTCTAATCTCTCTACTGCAACTGACTCCAAGTCTTGCAAAGAGGTCAAGCGCAAACAGTAAGCCTTTGAGTACAAGAGCATTTATTTTCATCTGAAAAATATAGGCAAGCAGTGGAAATATGCCAAAACGGCAATAGGTCTCTCATACAGTTTGACAGTTAAAAAAAAAAAAAAAAAGAGCGCTACATCCTATTTCGTTGTTTTCTAGCAGGTCAACAACATTGAAAATAGTCCTCCAGACTATTTTCTGCTGTTAAGATAAAGAATGAAACTTACCTGAGACTCATATGGGAAGAAGGAAATGTTGATCTCCTTGCATGTCCTTATTGATTTTGCACAGGAAGACTTAATTTTATTGAAAAGGTTGTCAGGACAATCTAGGAAAAAAAAAAGATTCTAAGTATAAACCATTTGTGCGTGTTCCAGCCATTAACTCACTTATAAGCTTTCAGTATTCAGAACAGACAATTCTAAATTAAGAACCAACTAACAGTAACATACAAAAAAGTTACCAAATCTTCCTAAAGTGAAAGAGAAAATGTTATCAGTATTTTGTGTTTGAGGTAGTTTTCAAGAAGCATCACTGATCATTTTTTACTAGCTTTTGGCAAGTGAAGTTGTAGAAGACTCATTAGCAGTCCGTAGCAGTGAAGGATATTGATTTTAACAAAGCAAAAGTTTCTGCTATTTCTTCTCATATAGGAGAGAGAAAACATTTCCCAAGCTACAAAAAGGTTAAAGGGAGAAATAATGTGTACATCTCAAACATCAAAACACAGAAATATGGAATTTAGTTACAGATCTCAAATGCGTTCCACTACACTTACAGGCTACATTGGATCCCGGTCTAGAAACTGAATTTAAGGAATATTTGGATGACACGAATACTACACAGACTTGGAAGCGACAGAGGTATTTCTCTAACTCCTCTCGACATGAAAAGCTTTGGCAAGTATTGAAACTTAAAGCTTGCACACTTGCAACAAAGGAACATACAGCAAGATAGCAATATTTTTCCAGAACAAGAATTGCTGCATCAGCGTAACATGAAACAAGAAACCAAGAGTTTTTCATAGTCATTTGATAACTGCTTTGAGAACATACGGTAGCAGATACGCACCATCCATGGACAGCACCATCCACAGAGACAGCCACAACTCAGTCTCTGCCTTCAGCAGCACGTTTGGGTTTTTTGTTTTCCCTTCTTTACACAGCCATTTTAGTCACGCTGACTGACTGCAGAGGAACATGCAGTCCCATTAACCCCACTTGCACAAACCGTCTCTGCTTTGCAATTTATCTTGTGCATGCAAGGACTAAGTAGGCACCTTCTTTCAGGTGATGGGAAAAAAAAGCTGGCTCAAGTCTGAAGGAACTACCTAAAATAACCAACTACAAAACATTGTTCTTGCAGCAAATTCTCACGCGTTTACATTTTTGAGTACTATTTTGTTTATATGAGATACATAGTTTTACTTGAATTGTCTCCCTCCACACTCTCCAATATAGGAGAAGACTGGAACACTTTAAAAATAAAACCAGATTACCTAAATTAAAAGCTGAGGTGGGGAACGATCAACACTGTTTGGTAATTTTGGAAGAAATTACTATTGCCACACGACACTGTGACCATTCTGGAAACCCAAATATGTTTAATGACTTGAGTCTCAAATCTTCCCTCAAGAAAGAGGACCCAAAATTTTCATTTACTAACCTATAGAAAAGAAAGTTGAGAAGCTTACTCACATATATAAAGTTACCAAACTATAACACAAAACCTTACTTACAGTCAGTGAAATACACATATGCTGCTTTGTATCTGCTGGATGATCTAGTGATGAAGTCATCAATAAGTCCATCTACAGACTTATGGGGGTAGGAAAAAAAAAAAGAAAAAATCATTATAGTGTTTTGCCTTTGCTTACATACCAGACAAAGCTTCTCCTTCCTCTCCTCCTGCCCTGTTAATTACCCAGTCCCACTTAGGAATACTGCAAATCAACATATAAGAACAGAAAACACTTAAGTAAAACATTTTTAATTCCAGAGCAAGAACAATAAACAATTACAGAAGGGCAGTCATGCACCAAGATCCCTTTAGGAAGCAAACAAAGCAGGATACTTGCATCATTTTCCACCTATGACAGTGCTGAGATTTATTCTCTCAAGAATTTTTAGGAAGTAACAGTAATCTCTTATTAGAGCTATTACTTTGAATTCTGTTGTTCTATGTATTGCCTCATTATTTGATACAACATCTCTTTCAGTGAGGTTACTAATATCTAAGCAATGAAACAGTGCCTCCATTGATCAAAAGGTACACATTTGCAACATACTCTATGGTGACACTGCATTGTCTTTTCATTATGGAAAACTGAACATCACACAGAGGAGCATCACACAAAATGCAAAAATTAAATACTGCATAGTTGTACACAGTAAATAAATATTTTAAAATAAAATTGCTTTTTCAGCCTGAAAGATCTTGCTACGCTTTCTTTAAAATACTAACCTTTTTGGTGGGAGTTATGAAATATATTGCTTTCATGTGTGGGACAGGCTCACGGTTTTTATATACGTTCTCCACCACTACAAAGTAAAGAAATATTACATTTTTATAATTAAGAGCTTTAGGCATCTGTAAGGAAAGCACCGTACATATTTTAGTATAGAGGTGATAAAAATAAAATAATACCAATCAAGTTGTCTACAAAACTCGTGTCAAGGACCTATCTTCTGCCAAGAGAGCCTCGATTTTTTTTTATTATTATTTTAAATACAGCAAGTTACCACAAGACTTCTTCAACCCGCAGCCTAGCGTCAGCTAAATTTGTAGGACTAAATTTTTCCTGGCTGTTCTACACAAGCAGAATTTTGCCCTCACACAGAAAGGTATGGCAATACAACCATGCTCAAACTATGGGGCCCAGTATGAAATATCTTGCAAGAGAACTGCCTCGGCAAGATTGTTCTTCTTCCAGCGCATTGAAGGAGAGGGATAATGAAACTATGCAGGGCATCATTTTGGACTAGAGCCTCTTCTGTCCTTTGTTTGCCTATTTCCTGTGCACTTATTCTGTTTCAATATAATTGCAGGCACAAATTAGACATTTTCAGCAAATCAGCTTCACTCAACTCTTGGTTTTCTCTGTTTAATAAAGTCATTACTATATAGTGTTGCAGCACGCTAGCTTGAGAATGCAATGAGATTCATGTTGCTCAGTAATTTTGAGGGGGAGGAACAGGGAAGATGAGTAATGTCAGACATTTGGATGTGGAAAGACAGGTTCTTTTCAGAAGTGTACTCACTGAAAATAAAAGGTTTCTTATTGATGAACAGGATACATGCTCACTGAAAGTTTCTCACAAAGGATAAGTAGTACTTATTACGATTAAAAATACACTCCAAAAAGTGAAATTTATACAGCTTTGCTATTATACTTCCAGAAGAATCATTTTATACTGAATAGTTGGAATGAGAAAAGTCTTGCTACTTGTGGAAAAATAACTGTCTAAATACTGCTCTCTTACAAAAGTGTTTCTAAAAATCTAAACCTAAAGCTAATTAAAAATTAGGTCATTTACATTTTGTGTATTCATTCAATTTCAAAAACAGGCAGGACAAAAAAGTTTGGCAGGATGATACACTAGTAAACATTACAGAAGGGTCAATCATAAAACACTTTTCAAAGTTGCTTTTTATGATAAGAAAAACATCCTTTTTTAAGTTGTAGGGAAGAAAAGCCCATAAAATTTACTACAGAGAAAATACTTTTTTAAAAGACCTGTAGAAAAACAAAGTCTTATCTAAACAGGCATACTGCATAACTGAGATCTATCACAATCCATCGTATTATTCACTTTTGACAGTGGCCAACATCAAGGAACAGGTCAGACATTCCAGCAGATGAGAAACTCCACTAGAAACTACTCTCAAATTGTTTGGAAAAGTGACAATCTAATTGTGTCAATGTTGCTTATGGGTTTATTCTAGTTAAAGTAATCATTGATATAACTTTGTTTCAAGCTTTTGTTGTGGGTTTTTTTTTAATTACAGAAAAGGTCTCTTGTTTTGAGAAGAGGCTAAAATGTATCTGCACAACGTAGAACTCCAATTTAAATTCTTGCCTCTATCACATCCATTTGCTTGCAAATACCTCTCATCAGTTTGTCTATTATTGTCTCCTCTTCTCATTTTGTCTTCAGTACTTAAGTTTCTCTGCCCTTGTATCCTAACTCTACTGTTCATGAGCAGAAATGAATTCAAAGCAGCAGATATTACTGATTTACAGAACACAGTAGAAAAAAATGCAGTGAGCAATTTGCCTATTCTTGTATGTTTTACTAACATGCACTTAATTCTTTATTAAGCTTGTTCTCCCTTAACTTCAACTGACAGATAATATCCTTAAAATCACTCTGTGACAGATTAACTTTCTCATTTACCCCATCCTGGACATTAGCAAACAAACACCCACCTGCCCAAAAAAAACCCCACAAACCAAACCAACAAAACTAAAAAAAAAAAAAAAGGGCACAAAACCAACAACAAACACCAAAAAAAATTTACAGCAATCTTTAGCAAAAAGATTAAAATGAAAAGGGTTTTAGCTTCTAGACAGAGAAACATTTGATTTTTCATTAAAAAAAAAAATCACAATTGGGTAATTACTGTACAAGCCAGAAAGTCTGCTAGTCTAATATCCCATAGCTACTTGTCTTCATCAACCAAATTAAGACAATTTCTTGCAAGGGTATCATCAATTTTATTCTTTTCCTTTCTCTTATCAGGATATTGCCATCTGTATATTAAAAAGAATTATGCTTACCTGTGATACCCTCTGCCAGTAGATCAGTCATTTTGCAGCACAGTGACAGTAATTTAGTAGTGTAATCATCTAAAAGAATTATCTAAATATATTAAAAAAACACAGGTATTTAGATAAATTAATCAGCTATAGTAAACCCGTGTTATTTCCTTAACAACTTGCCATGGAAATTTGAAGCTGAAATCTGTTTTATTACTCTGTATCTTTTCATCACCTGCATATAGCAACTTTGCAGTGGGAAATTAATCTCAAATAGCATCGGAAAGCAGCTCCCTACATACAGGATTTCAAAATAAGTAGCTTTTCCCCACTACTCCTACTAGAAAGTTATTTAAAAACTTCCACTTTGACACAAGTCTTGTGAATTCCTGCCTGATTTACCCCATGGCCTGCTTAAATATATCTGTACTTATTCTAAAACTGTTTTACAGCTTAAGCAGCTCTAACAGGTATCGCACTGCTGAATCCTGCTCCATGTGTATTGCACGGCAGTATAATTTGAAATTAATAAAGTACAAGTCCTTCAAAAGAAAAGTGAAGAAAAACAGAAACAGTTTCTATTTTTTTTTCAAAACTTAAGAACTGAGACAACTAACCATTTGTTCTTGCTATGCTAGCCCTTAGATTTCTCATTACGTATTATAGAGAGATCTGAGTTAACAGAACTAAAATCCATTACTTGGATGGAAAACCATTTTAAGTGAAAGCGACAGCCATTAAATGATACTTATTTGTTGTGTACTCCATGATAACAGTTAACTTGTTCAAGTGATTCTAACATTCTTAAAAAAATTTATAACAAAACTATACCTTCCATTCTTCCTCTTTCTTGCAGTCATCAAATACTGATGATTTTAGCTCTGTAAGAAGAAACAGAGATAGACAGTTTACCAGTTAGAGGGATCAAATTGTTACTAAAAAAATAATTCACCCATTTAGACTCATATGTTTAGAAACCTAAAAAGGGAGGAACAAAAAAAAAAACACACCAAAAAACCAACAACCCACTGATAAATACCTCTACAGAATTCTTGACCACAAACTGTCCCAGCCTGTTTGAGAAAGTTATAGCTAAATTTTTCATTTTTGCTAATATTAAACAGCTCCATAAAAATCAGTCTGAATGATCACAGGCCTGTAAATATTTCACTTTGTTTCTATGTTTTTTAGTGAACTCTGCCACTAAGTGGATTGTGCACATGCAAAAAATTTAAGCTGCTCTTCAAGATAAGGCAGCTGGACCAACACATTCAGAAACAGACCTATTTTAAAATATATGCTAACTTCAGATGTCCTTGTTCTTTTATAATTCCAGAATAAGCCTAAGAAAATACCAGTTCTTTCAGGAATTGAAAGATATCTTAAATATGGTATCCATGTTTAAAACCTGGTGTTTATAAACATGGGAATAAAGAGGTCTGACTATTCTGTTCTCTGGGAAAAGAGAACAGAATTTCAGATTAAGCTGCTGACTACTGCTATCAAAATAGCTGGACCTTTTCCCCAAATGAAAAAAGTGAAAGTAATAGCAGTCTAAAATACAAACGAGCAAGTTTAGCACACATTTTATGATTACTGCCAAGTGAAAGAACCATAAGAAGTTTCAGAATAGTAGGTGCGCATATAACAAAAAGTTACACCTGTTTCTTCAATGTTTGTAAGTATTAATATATTCACTTACATCCAAGTCCCTTTGGCATGACACTATGGCAAGAGCCTACCTGCTCATCCAGCCTTCGTTTCATTTCAGCTTCACAGCTCCTAACACTGCATAGCACACAACGCTCCCAAGATGTCACACTTCATGCTTTTCATGGTTATATTTTACAAAGATGTCCTACATAGACTCTTTCACACTAACACAAGGGGTTTCTTTTGAAAGATGAGTACTTTATGCTTTAGCTTTCCAATGTGCTCAGGTTACTTTTTGCAGCATTGACATTCTTCATAGCAACTTAAAAACCTTACACTCCGCTTCACCTAATAAACTGACAAATACACTGGTCAAAGTTATTTAAGCAAAAAGCACGTTTCAAGAGGGATGCAATTGGTGTATTTTGTTTATGCTACTAAACAATAGAACTCAAGCTCAGTTCTCCTGAACCCCTTTCTGCTTATACAACTCCCGAAATCCATTACCATTTCTCCAACTTGCCCGCTGGGTTGCTTCCAATTCAACATCCTTCCTGTTATACACAATCCACAGTTTTCAACAAGTTCTAGGTCTGCTTAGCCTGGTGTAGACACTCCTATGACTTCTTTGGATATACTCTCTATAAAAATTGCAGAACACTCATCACTCCACAGCTGCTACCAAGATGTATTTATTGGTAATACCTGAATCCAGGATGTAGTACAGGCACATTTTTTCCTGTCGCTTTTATACTGTGTATTTGTTACTTACATTTTTCTAAGTATAAGGGATGAGGCCCAAGTGACTGTGCTGTGAGCCCAGGCAATGCCCCAAGAGAAGGCTCCAGAAGTCAGCCACGGGGAGGGGCCTCGTGTCACTTCCCTTGACTGACTGGTGTCTCAACCACTCCTGGAACTGGGGCGAGAGAAGATTCCAGAAGTCTTGGACTGGGGCCAATAAAGAGGGGCACACAGAAGCCTCCTGGGGCACTCTCTACACCGATACCCCCCGTTGGCAGGTCCGATGCTGAATCCAGGATTGGTGATCTCTCCATCTCTTTTCCTCTCTAGCTGTTTCCTTCCTTCTCTCTCTCTTTCTTTGCCCTTAATGCTGCTAAGTAACGCAAGGCCTACTTCAACTGCTCATAAAGCCGCTTAGCTTACGTGACATATTAATATGTAGAGGGTTGACACTTATAGAGTGTTTGTTCCATTAAAGCTGATGTTCATGTATGGACCTTGAGTGTTATCTCACCTTAATCCACACCGAGGGGATTTGCAGACCTTAGTCACTCTCCCCTTCTCATAAGTGAGACGTGACACTAGGTCTGTATGCAAGATGTAAGAACAAATCTTCACCCTCGTGAAAATGTCATTAACCTTCATATTTTCTGAGAATACTCTTACCAAGGAATTAGTCCTTAGCATTACACAGAGTTCTTTTTAATAAACTGAGCACCTGAGAGCCTTGTCCAAAATCGCAAATACATTTTTTCTATAATACATTAACTTACTTGCCTATAAAATAAACCAGAACATACAAATGCATAATCCAGTTGCGTCTGGAACTCAATTTCTGTAATTTAAAACAGAAGTCAGCTTTCTCCCATCATGAAAAGAAATTTTATTCCAAGCTCTCAGTGTACCAGATACAGCATACTTGCCCCTGCAACATTCCAACTGTTATTTGTTTTGTCCTCAGCCCGCAGCTGCTTTACCCAAATAACTGACCTATGCTGGTTTACAGGCTCTCAAAATCATCTGTCTCCAGTAAGCATTCGGAATGCACCAAAAGCAATCATAAAACCAGGTATGAATAGCGCTCCTTTTTTGTCTAAGCTTTCATTTCCTTCTCACAAATTTTATACCAACCATGCATCCTAACTACCTTCTCTAGTTTCGTCTTCTCTGAATACATTCAATTAGTTTAAGGCATTTTTCTTCTACCTTTACTTCCTGATCCAGATAAGAACTATACACAACCCTGACAGAACAGCAGACTGCTAAATCCCTGTGTGAAAAAACAAACAAACAAAAAAGCAAACCACACCTTGGCAAAGTTAATGACCCATTTATAACACACTTCCTGAAGAAAGGACTAAAACAGCTTTCACTGTAAGCAAGTGTTCTGGAAAATAAAGTTGCAGAAATGCTGAATCATTTAAAAAAAAAAAATAGATATCTATAGCTAGGCTAGAATCTTATTATACAAGTCTAGAACACATTTCAAAGTTGTAAAAAAAAAAAAATTAAAGACAGAATTCCTTGTGGAAATAGCCTTAGTTACAGATACACACACAGAGATGTAGTATATAGTTAATTTTATAATTTTATCCACAGGAAGTACTGCCTCCTAAATACAGGTAGCTTCTCCCACCCCCATAACTGTGAACTTAACTGACAACAAACTTTGGCGAAGTAACCTTTTCACACACTTCTGCTTAGATTCAGTCTAAAATTGCACCTTACAGAAAGGTCTATCTCAATGGAAAGAAGGGTTTTTAACAGCACCATGCCAGAGCACAGGTACAACACTCTTTGTACACACAACACAGGCACAACTTCTTTGCCTGTTTGCAGAACAGGAGTAAGATACACACTGACAACAAGCTGCTACATGAAGCATCAGCATCACTGACACATTATTTTCAGACAAACCAGCCTTAAAAAAAAAAAAACACGTTTGCTGAAACATTAGAAAGCAGCGGTTTATGGCCTTGAATTATCCATAAACAAAATGCCAGACAATGTCTAAAACTCAGTTCATCAATTTTCATTGTTGTTGTAGTCTTGGAAGGACAAGAGTAACTAGTTATCTAACAAAGCATTCTTTTCAGAAACAGCTTCTTTTTTACAAAGTTTGCAATATAAATTATTTATTATTCACTCTGCTTCACCATCACTCTAATCTTCCTTCCTCATGGTCTTGCTGCACTGGCAACGCTGTTTTCAAAAGTCCTTATACACTCTGATGACGCACTAGCGTTTTGATCCTTCCTAGGTTCCCTCCTTTTAAGGCCCAAGTCTTCCACAAAACACCTCGGGACAAATCAATCGCTTTACAGTCAAAGGCACAAATGGCTTCACAGAGAGCAATACAGGACAAGCAAAGCAGCAGAAGTAGGGATTTCTAAAGGTCAAGTTTTAAACAAAGGTACCTAACTCATGTGAGCAAGGTACAGCTGTCAGCAATCGAGGACTGACCACCACAGGAACAGTCTGCTTTCCTCTGTCTCCCCTTTTTCGATTTTCTTCCAGTGACACACGCAAGCAGACTGGAGCTTGCAGGTGGGAGCAGAGGAGGAAAACGCGGAGGAGAAGGCAGCGGGGCCTTCCCCTTTCAGTGACAGTCAGTCACCAGACCGGCTGAGCTGCTCATGGAGTCACAGCCTCGGTACAATTAAGTCTGGCGTGAGGTGGCTACTAATGCCTTTCCCCAAAGGTCTCACAGTACCTGAAATACTATTAGCCCTTCTACTCCACCAAGACATGGAGTAGTTACAACTTCATCTTCTGTACCAGACACCAGCAGAACCTTTTCCTAAACACGGCAATAAAAAACCTGCAGTTTTTATGAAAGTACCTGGGGACACCTTCAGCTTTTTCTTCTGAAAACCGTGAAGCCCAACATAAAGCGGGCAGTGCCACTTCATGACAGACAACCAGAGAGCGCCTTCCGAAGCCGGGAGCACTCTCCAAAGCTGCCATTTCGGAAGCAACGGGGCAATCCTTGAAGGGCTGACTTCAAGTTTACCCTCTTCAAGAGCTGGCACGGCTGGCTATACCCTGTATAGTTCACCCTTATTTCGGAATAAGGCAAAAACGTTTCCATCCAGGTGCTATTACTGCAGGCAACCGCGGCACCGCCGCAAG